GTGTGGAAGTCAGGGGACAATCTGTGGCCTTTGGTTCTCTCCTGCCACGTGGGGCTTGGGATCCAACTCAGTTGTCAGGTGGTCTCAGACACTTACCTGCCGTCATCATGCTGACTCCTCAGTAGTTTGTTTCACTTAGTTTTCTTTTTATGTACTGTTTCAAGAACCTTTTTTAAAAAATTTGTTGTGTAGCCAAGGATGACCTTGAATTCATTTCCTGAATGCTGTTGGGGTTACAGGATTGCACCAATGCTCTAGACAAGATTCCTTTTTTATTTAGTGTGTGTGTGTGTGTGTGTGTGTGTGTGTGTGTGTGTGTGTGTGTGTGTCTGTCACAGTGCTCATGTGGAGGGAGGTCAAAGGACGACTTTTGGGAGTCATTTTTTCCCCTTCCCCGTGTGGTTCCCAGTGGCAGAAACCAGGTTTCTATCTGTTTGGGTGGCAAGGGCTTTACCTGCTGAGCCGTCTTGCTGGCCCAGGATTCTGTTTTTGAGGTAAGCGCCAAATGCTAAACCCTGTGCTGGGCTTGGGGAGGCATGTGAGGGGGGATGGTGGCCACCCTCCCCAGGGTGTGCTCCCACATCCACTCCTCATCACTCCTGCAGGAGAGGCTCCCACTCTGCAGCCCCAGACGATGGCTTCCATATCCACCTTCCGTCACACCCTCCAAGTCAGCAACGGGATTTTATTCCGTTCTATTTCTCCGAAGTCTAAGGAGAGCGGCCACATCGAGTGTCCCCAGCTCCACATCCTCCCCTCCCGCTTGCCACCCTGCCTTCTCTCCCGTAGCCTGGTGCCTCAGTTGCCCTTCTCGGGCGGCTAAGGCTGGTATGCTGGACACAGGCTGTCCCTCCACAGGCGGTAGGTGATGGCGGTGGTCACGGTGAGCCAGGCCAGGTAGGGCAGCAGGAGCAGAGCAGCCAGCTTGTTGATCGGCTGCCAGATAAGCACCAGGCTCGCCACCAGCCCGTAGAGCAGCAACAGGTCCAGGAGGGCCTGGCAGAAGTGTTGGGAGGGTATAGTCATGCCAGGACCCTCTCTCTGTCTTTCTACAGTACCCTGACCCAAGAAATCCCACCCCTGGGGCACTGTGCACACTGTAATAATCGCACACATGTCGCTTGCTGGTCCCTGATGTCAACTGTCTGATGTGGGCCCTGTGGTTCATGCTCTCCTTCTCCCAGAACGGAACACCACGTGACTTACCAGCCCAGGGTTGTCGGCTGTCAAGAAGAGCAACAAGAAAGTCCAGCTGAGGGTGAGCTGGAAAGTGTAGAGGCCCAGGGGCAGTGCTAGGGGCCACCGGAAGCCCCCGCCCAGGTCCTTCCACACCAGGTAGGAGGCATAGCTGCAGGGAGAGGGGGTTCTGTAGGACCCAGGCCCCCCGGCATAAGGCCTCTTGGCATCAAGGCGTCAAGGCGTACCCTGAGCCTGGCATGTGGGC